GGCCTCGGCCTGGGCCTGCGCTTGGGGCTGGGCCTAGTTCGGCGGGAGGAGCTGTGGGTTTCTGTTATCCCACCGAGGTCAAGCCTGGGCCTTTGCAGGGTTTGTGGCCCTCTCTTCCCGTAGCCGGGCCGCGGTAGGGTTGTAGGTGTGGTGATCGTAGCTGCAGCCAGAAAACATTCCCCCCCCCCCGCCTCCCCTCCAACACACTCTGGGGCTGAGGGGGGTACCATGGGGCTTTGGGGGGCTGGAGGGGTCACCCCCCACACACCCCAGCTCCTCGGAGGGTCTGTCAATGAAGGTTACACTGCGCTTTCAGAGAGCCCTCGGGGTCTGTCCAGTCTCCCTGTGGAAAGGTTTAAACCAGGCAAACCTGCCAAGCCACCACTCTCTCTTCAAAATTTATTCCCGTAATTGTTCAAAAACAGTTTATATTTAGGCATTTGTGCGTTGCGGTTTCTGCTTTTCTACTAATTTCGTCTGTTTTGTTCTTGAGATGTTTTCAGCAGTTTATGTTCTCGCCTTTCATCTTGACGTTTACTTTGTAAACGCTTGGCTACCAACTGTCCTTACCTGGTCTTCAGGGAATACTGCAATGCCCAAGAGGAAAAGATTAACACATAACACCAGCAAATTGCTGCTTATGTTTGTCTGGTGTAATAGTTACAGATTTAAACTGTAGGATTTACTGCTAATTTGCTATTAAGAAGGGAATATTGCAGAAACATGTAAAAATGGGTGAATTTGAACTCCTGAACATTAAATGCTTTGTTTCTTCTTTTTTTTAGGAGGAAACATTAATATTAGGAAATGGCAGAAGCAGTTTTTCATCCCCCAAGAAGGAAAAGAAGAGTTTTTGAGTCCTATGAATCTCCCTTTCCTGTGGATGTAGGTGGGAAGGACTTCAGAATATGCCAGGCTGAAATCATTAACAACAATGTTATTGTCAGGAACCCTGAAGATATTGAACAGCTCTACAACAAGGTGGTGTACACTGTTTGCATGTTATTTTTAGTGTTTTAAACATAAGTTTTGAACTAGTTATGAGAAGCTAAGCAACAAGCTTTAGGCAAAGCTTAAATGCTGCAGAATTTCAGATTGTTTTTGGTTTTTTTTTCAGTTGATCTTGGCAGTAAACATTTTCTATTTAGAAAGAAGTTAATTTTTGTCAGATGATATAATAAGGACTTTTCCTTTTCTTTGAAGGGCTATTTTGGGAAAGGTATCCTTTCAAGAAGTCGACCAGTGTACAGCATTTCGGATCGTTCCCTGGTTACTAAGTGGCAAGGTAAATTGTGCCCATTTGTATGTCCATCACTATTGTACTTTTCACCTTTCTTCACTCATTTCAGATATATGTGTATAAATCACACACAGAAAAATCATCTCTCTTCTGGGTCAGATCAAGGATCTCTGTCTCCCCATACCTGATGAAGGGCAGTACAAGATGCCTAGGAAAAATATGAAAAAAAGAAACATGTCGATAGCTCCTTAGTGCATTCTCCAGGCCTTCACTGATTTCTTGCTTAGAGAGTCTGTAACCAAAGGTATCATCCTTGGACCTCATAAAAATGTCCAGGTTTTTTTGGTTTTAATATGAAGAATATGTGAAATTTTTAATCGGTTTATAGCCACTTACATCTGCTCTGCTCCTGGTTGTTTATAGACTGTCATTCTTTATTGTCTTTTCCATGGCAGTTAAGTCTCAGTAGACATCGCTGGATTTTGTCATATCCCTCGGTAATTGTTTTTTTATGGGCTGGAGAAAAGTAGTGCATTTAGTTGTTCCTCTTGTGCAGGCTGTTACTTCTGTACCTTTTCTAGTTCTGCTGTGTCCTTGAATACAAGTGGGACTAAAATGGCACAGAGTACTGAAGATGGGGGTAATTGCTGGGCTGCAGGTTACCTCAATGATCAAAATCCCATGAAAACATTTTCATATTGAGGAAACAATGTATGATTTTTCTTTATACAGGTGCTAATGTAAACTTGCCTATCATTACATCCAAAAAGTAAGTTAATTTGCATTAATTTATTCTTGTTTTTTTATGAAACAGATTATTCTATTTTATATTTTTTCTTACTGGTTTTTAGATTGTGGGCTGTATAAATGCTGATGGCTTGCTTCTATTTCTTTTCTTTGTATTTAATTTATAAATTGCATTAGAAAAACTAGAAGTCAGGTAGGTGATATTCAGCATGGTTTTTCATGTAAGCTTGCAGGTAGGAATTGCTGAATAGAAGCCAATACTGAGTGCATGCATGGTAGTATGGGTAATTAATTCCTAATAATATCAGGCATAATAAACCTGTTTCTCAGCTGAGAAGGAAAAAGAGAAGGTTCTGAGGCAGGCTGTTTAAAGTAACTCTCCCATTTCCTTGTTGAATTATTCTAATGTGAGCTGACGCAGCTCTTGACTTGTATAATACATAGATGTTTTACTTTTGTTTTTTTCATAGTCTCTACTAGTGTTCCTAGTTTGTACATTTATCAAAACAGTGTCGGACCGCATACTTGTTTTGCCTTACTTGAATAGTATATGAATGAACTGTAAGAGTGTGCAAATTAGTTACTGTTTGCTTTAATCTGATGATAATGCTAAAAATTTTACTTACATTTAAAAGTTACGCGTCTTCAGTCCTTAACTATAGTTAAGAGAAACAGTAGCAATATTACTACTGCTGCTACTACGGTTACTACTATTTGCAGAAACCCTTGTCATTCTCTTTGCTCTACTTTGTGACAGCTTTGTATGCTAGCAAATACAGCTGAGCATCAAGGAAAGTGTAATTATATTGGTGCAGAAAATGCATCGTGATCTGTCTCAGCAGAGATCTGTATGTGTAAATTATGTGGTAATTAAATTGTAGGACAAAGAGGAGTATTTTTTATAACAAAAACTACAGTACTGAATTATATAGCTTTATTATGAGACTTCAGAGGGACTTATATTTTGTGTTGACACATGAAATCTGCATTTAATTGTCTTTGTAGTTCTTCATTACCTAGTCTGTAATTGCTGTGTTAGGATTTTGCTTTGGGAAATAAAGAATATTGTACTAGAGCTGTCCAGGTTTGAGTAAGGACAGCTGTGCTCAGCTGCATGTAACTTTCACAGAATGCAGATCAATGCCTTCAGCTGGATATTCATGTTATCTTCCAAGGAGAAATAATTGAAGGGGCACTGAAAACGCCATCATACTGGAAAAAAATTAGAAATATTTGCAGCATGTAGCTAGTATCTCACTGATAGGATTATTCTTATTTCTCAGAGTGTGAGGGTTTTGGTCAAAACCGATGGTAGTTTCTGTTAAAGATTTGGTTTCTGTTAAAGCTGGTGTTTTTGCTATGCTATTGCTGTTTCAAAGACAGTTAAAACTGTGTTTTGAAGATACTTATGCTGGTGTTTTTGCTATGCTATTGCTGTTTCAAAGACAGTTAAAACTGTGTTTTGAAGATACTCTTCTCAGTAGTTAGCTGTATAACAGAAGAAGTGTGTGAGAGCTCTGTGTACAAAGTCTTGTTGCATGCTTTTATTCATGCTAGCTTAGACACCTAGCTGTTTTTGCAGGGAATTCAGGTGTAAGGCCTCAGTGGGAGGAGGCAGTGGGAGTCCTGGTGAAGTTCTTGCTTCTTGAAACTGTGTAGTCCTCAATGCATGGTTCTTGTGCAACATTGGTAACGGTGTTTGTTGCTGCAGAAATTTAAAAGGCAAAACAAAGCCAAAGAAAGTAGCAGAATTTTGATGTTCAGTGATGTCGACTGCAGCTTCCTGATGACTGGAGGCCTATTACATTGTGCATGTTGTATTTTGCATAGCAGTTACTGGGGTGTGTGTTCAGGTTTGTTTTGAGAACTGTGCTGAATCTTCTTTTTTTCAAGACGCTTGTTTTTAAGATGTTAATTTAGGACTAAAATGCCCTAGAACTTCTAATTTATTTTACTTGTTTACTAGGTACCAGCGTCATGTTCAGTGGGCTAAAAGTGTTCTGCAAGAGCAAGGATTTGATGACTGCTCGGTTACCAAAATTCTTGAAAATTACACTAAACCTCTTGAGCTGCCATGTTTGGAAGAGGATGGAGCTGAAAAAAACGGTAATAATTGCAGCAAAATGGGCCCAAATACAGAAAATACAGAACTTTCCAAGCAATCTTCTACAGATACTGGAAATGCAGTAGCCCTAAGTTCTGAGAATCAGAACAAAGGCTACAAGAAAGCCTGTTTGGAAGGAGATCCAGCATTTGATTCTGTGGCTGTAAGTGCCTCTAAAGAACAGGAACAAGGTGGCTTGAAAGAGATAGCTGAAGTGTCTTGCCAGAAGCATGGTCTTCTCATGCAGAGCAACTGTGAGGCAAGGGAGAACACTGAGCAAAGATCTTGTGAGATGATCAAGTCAAAAGAATATGCTCCAGAATATGTATTGGTGCAAGAGGAAGAAGAAGGTAGCTTATGTCATGAAGATGATTCTGCTTGCATGCAAGAAAATGTAAGGATAAAGAGTATCCTAATCTTTCAGAAAAACTGTATCATCAGTGCTATTTTCAGAATTCAGGTTTTTTTCCAGTTTAAAGTTTTAGTAATACAGTAATTTTTTTCTTGTAGCCTGTCAAGAAGGAAAAATTAGTATGCAGAAGAAATCCATTCAGAATTTTTGAATATTTACAACTCAGCTTGGAAGAGGTATGTTTCAAGTACAGCACAAGTTGTTTTACTTTTAATCTGAAAAATAAACATTCATCTATGGTACAATGTAATTGAATACATGTTACTGAAATGCAGGGTTCTACTGTGTCTCCTAAGTAATTGGATTGTCTTAGTCATTCAATTTATTTTTAATAACCTGCAATAATTATATAGTACAGTTTAAAAAAAATATGTAGGTTCCAACCTCATTTGCTTTAGATGGGTAATCCCACTAACAAAGAGACCAGTGATAGGAGTTAAATATAGAAATACAAGGAATATAACATTTATATAAATCCTGCTTCGATTGTTCTGCTTCTAAATATATTTATATGTGTGAGTTTTAACTCTGTGCCTTCAGGAGTCTACAGCACATGCATAGATTTTTTGTAGTGCCGTGTCAGTTGAAATTTAAAGGCCATGAAGACAAATCTGAAAGGAAACTTTCAGCAACTTTAGGATTTGTTTTTATTTGACTTTAGGATTCTTGTATAAAATTAATTAGAGGCTTTGTTCTTGCGTGGAATATAAACTCCAGGAAGAGTCTATCTATGAGCTAAATTTACTCTGTTTATTTTTTCAGGCTTTTTTCTTGGTGTATGCTCTGGGATGCTTAAGCATTTATTATGGTGAGGTAAGAGATTCTATTAATTTTGGATGACTGGGGATACCATTAGTTTGGATATGTTTTGGTCTGAAATTTTTTACCTACTATGGCAGTATTTTGTGTTGTTAACACCAGAGTAATTAGGAAGTATTTCTTAAAAATAATGATATATCTGTTTATGAAATACTGGTCTGAAAGTTTTGTTTACCAAGGCAAATACAGCTATGTACAGCCTTTTTGGAAAGAAAGGTTTTTGTTGTAACTTAGGAAATACAGGGAAAGCAAGTATGGGAGGCATAATATGGTGAATACTCTCCCTTTCCTGAAACAGAAAAATTCCTTGGAGTTTTAAGCATTATTCTATAAGTATATCAAGCTACCGTTAATGTAAGGACAAAATAATTGAAACCTATTGAAACCTATGCTTCTAGTTTAAAATTTGTCAAATTTTCCTTTAAACAAGGGCATTATGGGACTGCTTGTGAAATGGTAAAATAAATCACTAAATGGACGAAGAAGTTTCTCTCTTTATATTTAGGGATTCCATATTTTATTGTCTGAAGTCCATGCTCTTTGCAGTGGGCTGGGGTATTTGATGTTTGGCTGTTACGGTCTGCTACACACAGTATTCTAGATCTGCTGTAATATTAATATAGTCACATTAATGCCTTTGGTTGGGATTTTTAGGAGCCCCTAACTATTTTGAAGCTATGGGAAATCTTCAGTGAAGTGAAGCCCAATTTTAAAACGACTTACATGGCCTATCACTACTTCCGCAGCAAGGGCTGGGTCCCCAAAGTGGGACTGAAGTATGGAACGGATCTCTGTGAGTAGCTTCCTTACAAAAAAAAATGGAATCATTTGCATCTGACTTCTTTCCAGGCAGTGCAGGACTCCAGTGCCAAAGCTGAATTCGATAATGAGCAGCTACATGATGGGATCAGGCTTTGCTACTTGCTGTTGTCAAAAGGCATCTTTGGCTTCTATGGGTTAGCAATAAAGTTAGGGGGAGTGGAGTACAACGTCACCTACCCAGTAGCTGAAGAGGTAGCTCAAAAGGCCCGTTGTTTTTCCTCATGGGGTTAATAATTAATACAGGATTGCACTGAAATTCCCTTCCAAGTTTCCCTACCCCCTCTAAACACGTCTTCTGCAGTATTAATATGACAGTCTCTGGAGTAGCAGGTTTGCTTCTAGATCCCCATGCACATCAAAGTCCATGCATCTCATTATTTATCTAATTCATCTCTCATTTAATCAAAGCTGGACTTCTGCTGAACTTACTGCTATGACTTTTTTTCTGTATGGGTTATTTTGGGGAGGGGAGCAAGGGGAAGGGACTTGCTTGCTAATGGTAAGGGTTTTATCCTTACAGAAATAATTAGTGGTGTCCATAATCCCTTGCTAAGTAATTCAAGAACTACACTCAGCTCACGTCAACGTAAACAGTACAGTAATGCCTGTTGTTACAGGAAAATGTGCATAAAGGGAAATGTTTTTTTTAATGGTACGTGCAACCCAGCAGGTGTTTTAGTACTGCTGAAGCAGTTTTAAAGTTGGGGTTTGTGCATTTAAGTATGTTGAGGTTGTCCTGAGCTAGGCCTTTAGATCAGTGTGAAGGTTTGGCTGAATTCAACATCACTGGTGTTAGTGCTCTGGGTTGTAGATGGGGTTTTGCTATTGATCACCTGATGTATAAGGGAAATTGATGCTAGTCTGTTCACTGTTCATTTGTGTTCTGGCCTGAATTTGTTGTTTAGCATATCACTGCCTTTGGATTTGTGCCAGGCAAAGGAAGTGGATTAGTTTAGGCTAACAGGCTTCTTATTGCTGAACTCCTCTGGCTTCTTGTTCTTTGGCAGTACCTTCTTAGAATTGATTTTACTGCAGTTGCTTATAGTGGATAATTTGCAAATCATGGTTGTCACTGGGACGAAGTACTGCTTGTCCTTTTCCTGACAGGGTCTATGTATGAGAATACCTCTTACAAGCTCATGACAAAGGGGAGAGATGAAATGTAACTCTTTAGGTCAGTTAGAACAGTCCAGCTGCGATGATTCTTGTGTACTGCTGTACAGAGAAGGTACTTTTAGTGGATCTGGTGGGCAGTATGGAAGAACTTGTGCCCTGTGCCTCTCCTAAAACTTGTGAAAAATGTTATATTTGCTTGCTTGGAACAGAAACTCAATGGCTTATTGTGATTTTTTTACACGTACACCTGGCTCAACTTCTCTTGTGAATACAGTATTAAAAGCATGAGCCTATTGCAGAGAAATTAAATTCCATCCTAAATTTTTTCCCACAGCAATTGCTAACTGTCCTCTGGCTCTTCTACTTAATCTTTTACCTGCCACTCCCCTGCCCTGTGTCACCCTATTGCTCCTATGGGGTTTTTTTGTCTCTTCCCTCACACTCTCCACTTGCTGGGACAACTTAATTCTGAGCAGAATTCAAGTGTTGAGGTTCTGTCTTATGTAATTAAACTCTACAAAATATTTGAAAATATTTATGGACCCAGGTATTAAACTCAGATAGAAACTCTGTGATTGTCTAACTAAGGTGTTTCTCTTTCATTTCAGTGCTGTATCGAAAAGGCCCTCCCTTCTATCATGCAAGGTTTGAAGCTCATATTTCTAATTTCTTCTTTTCAAATTAGTAAATTTCTCTCACACAAATTTAGTGTCTTCACTGGTTAAGCACATATTCTTCGCTCAAAACACTTTGCCAGATGCCTTCATACTGGGAATGCAAAAGCCTTTTTAGAAAAGGCACTAAATAACACAATTTCATTGAATTCGTGTAACAGTGGTAAGATTAAAAATTAAAAGCTGCAATGAGCATATTTAGCATTAATGATGAATGCACTCAGGAAAGTAAGTTGACTTAGTAATACTGACTTCTAAAAATACATGGTGTGGATAATTTATGTAATTTGGGAGAAAAATCTTTTAAAGGATGATAATTATCTTTGTTTCTTAGCTAGTCGGGTTGAGCTCCTAGATAATAAAGAGATTATAAATATCAGATTGGCATTCATAAGAGATGCTTGGCATCAGCAGAAGGGTGGGGTGGGTAAGTGACCGTAAGCATATTCACAACTTCATCCTTTCTCCTCTTTTCCTAGCAGAAAGAGACTTAAGTTTCACAACTTGCTTACTTTATACTGGCATATTGTTTAACACCAAGTTTCACGCTCTAATTCTTAAGTTTTGTGGTCTTCCAAAAATGGTCGTTTTCTTTCTCTGAATTGTCCCTTCTGCTTTGTTTTCCAGTTACTCTGTCATTGCTGAATTAGTTGATGATAATTTTGAAGGTTCTCTTCGCAGACCGCTCAGCTGGAAGTGCTTGTCTGGGCTGAACAGGACAACTGTTAATGCTTCTAAGGTAAGTGTAAGATGCTATTTTTAAAATAGCTTTGGAATGATAAATGTACCGTTTAGTTCCAAAGAACAGGCAGTTGGAGTGAGGCTGGAAAGAGAATCCTCGTGTTTCTAGCCTGCTGAAGAACATGTTCAGTTGCCAGTAGGCAAACAAGAGTGTCCTTTGTCAATGTCCAGGTAATTCTGGAAGGAACTTATTAAAGTTCTGTTCACTGTAGGAATGTTAAAAGTTGTATGAGGAACAGAAGAAAGACCCAAGGGACACTTGCTGCTTCTGTTTTTAAAGCCCTCTCCAACTACCAGGACTTCTGTTTGAACAGTGAAGCTGAAAGCTTCCAAAAGATGTCCCCTTTGATAGAGGCTCATACCTAGTGCTTCCATACTCACAGCCACGCTGCTCAGGTGGTGTGTCACAATTCTACTTTATCTTATAGCAGTATTATGCTTTGATAAGGAAAATGAGATATACAGCTCTCCTCAACTTGGTTTGCAGAAGTAGCAAACTTGGTACCTGCATTTCTAATGAATGTAAAACACGCTATAGAAAGAGATCAGTTGAAATTCATGTATTCGTGTTTTCTGTTTACCACCAGGAACTTATGTTGTGCTATCTGATTAGACCGTCTGACATGACTGAAGAAGAGATGTCAACCCCAGAATGTATGAAAAAAATTAAAGTTCAGGTGAGCAGTTATTTCTCTCTTTGCCTGTGTAGCTTTGCCTTGGGGCAGCTGGACAGCTAACTGTAAGAGTCTCCTTGAGCCGTTGCTTTGGGTTTTGTACTGCAATAAAATAACAAGATTCCTTTGTGCCGAAGAGTCTCCTTGAGCTGTTGCTTTGGGTTTTGTACTCCTAGCTGCAATAAAATAACAAGATTCCTTTGTGCCCCAAGGCGTGAGAAATGCATTGCAGCCTCTTTAAACACATAAGATCTTCTAATTTTAAGTTGCTGCTACTGTGAGTGTAAGCATTTGCATGGGGAAACAGGGATACCTGCGGAGACTGTAGGTCTCTCTCTTTTAAACTGCATGAAAGGAGAAAATTATGTGAGAGACCAGCTCATTTCAGGAACAAACACAGTCATCTACTAAATTTTCTCAATAGTCACATAATATACATCAGTTTGCTAAAGGCTTAATCCCTATCCCTTGCTGATTATCTGTACCTTTTTTTTTCCTCTCCATAATAATTGCTGTTTTTTATTTCAGGAACTGATTGTAAGTCGTTGGGTTTCTTCCCGGGAGCGCAGTGAGCAAGATGACTTTTAACTGACTGTGTAGGAAAAACTTTAAAACTTTAAAACTTTTTTTTAAATCATGTCTTGTTTGTTACCTCATCTTCTCATGATGAACCATTGCCTCAGAACAGTTTCTGTTGATGTATACAGTTGGGACGTATAAATGCTATTTAAAATGAGATATTTCATGTTTACTGGAGAGAATTTTGTATTGAAAACTGAACTGAACTGTCATAATGCATAGGAAGGGGAAAAATTAAAGCTTTGTCCCAACATAAAGTACTTGTTTTGTTTCCTTAAAACTAACAGATGTGTATCTTTGAATGGTGGCTAGACTGCAGTGGTTAGTAATTAGTATTTTTAGTATTCTGACAGATCCAAGCGTTGGTGCTGAGTAGGCACTACGGCCTGCAGAGCCATGGAACTCCAAAACCTGAGTGTCTGCCCGAAAGCCGAAGTGATGAGGGATCCAGCAGTTTTCTGGGAATACCTCCCACATTCTTCCAAGTCAAGCTTGGGAATTGTAAGGCTAACGTCAGTTTGTAGCTCAGCACAGGGTCCTATATTTCTTCAGAAACGAGGACTTAAATTTGATAGTCCTCAAATTTAATGCTAGATTTTAACTAGTTAAAGCTAGTTAAACATCAGCAGTAATTACAGTGAGTTAAATAACCTTTTGGAATACCTATGGTACTGTTTTTCAACCAAAACTTGACTTCATGGTCTTGATGAAGTTGCACCAACTTAGATTTGGGGACAGATCTGGCTGTTGGAATATTGAGCAGGGTAACACGTTAGGTGCCCACACCCTGGAATTTACTAGTCCTAAAAGTGCTTGTTTTCACAAGAACTGCTCAGAATTAAGGAACTCTTCCCAGAATGTGTAATTGTGGGTTCTTAGCAGCTAACAGCGATGTTAGGTGTGAGGCAGTAGGGAGTGCTGGGGCACCTTTCCCCATTTCAGTAAGATGTGGGCTTCACTTGGGCTTTGCAGCACAAGACTCCTCCTTGGAAGGAAAGGCCTGATCTTGCCCCAGGACCACAAGTTGATGCCCTTTGCTTTTGTTGAGGATGGGTTACTGTGTAGAAAATAGCGGCAGATTTGCTGAGCTAGCGAGAGGAGGTCAGTCTCTGTAGCTTGGCAAGTATAATTCTCAGTTTCATCACTGCTTTTTTTCTCTTTTATCTGGCAACTACGATAGTCCATACGTTGTGGGTTTTTTTCCATAGTGCACTGTTAGCTCTCTTTGCCCTGGCCTGTTGTAAAACAGAGTGGGAGGCCCTGCTGTGTGAGACACAGGACAGCGCTGAGCGGTTCTGCCTCGCTACGCCAGGCGCCTGCTATTCTCTATCTTTTTGTAAGATTTAATCGTGTAGATTGCAGGTTCCTAAATGCAGTGTTTGCTATTGCTAAGCCATGTTTGGAAAACAAACAAAACCAACCCAGCAGGTATTCAGCTGGCTTTCAAGTGGAGCCAGGAGGTTTAAGTATCAGCTACGCTGCATTTTAAGTATTGCTGCTTTAGATTCAGGCATTTGAATTCCATCTTAGCCTTTGAACAACAGGCTTCCTTCCTTCACCACGCTGTTAAGAGTTTTTTAGATTTATTTTTCCCCCCCCTGTTGTGAGAGAACACATTTGCTACAACAGCAGGGTTACATTATAGCTGGTGACAGTGACACTGTTTGGATTTTCTTTGTGCTATTTTCATACACTATAAAAGGGGGTTTGCCTCCTGGTCGCAGGAAGTTTTCCAGTAAAAATTCTGTGAACTCGGGCTGTTCCCACCAAACACAAACCCACGTTCTTGTTTACTCAGGCAGCTTAGAGTGTAAAGCCTTGTCAAGAATGCAGGAAACTACATACAGCTCAAAGTGGAAGATCTTTGCTTTCATTTAATACGACTTGTACTGGGAAGATGCAAAATGAAAACGTTAATTGCGTAACAGCATTTTCAAGCTGAACAGGTAGGTATGTGTTGACTGTAGGTGGCAAGGTGTTCTGTTTCTAGCTGCAGATGACTCTACTTCATGCTTCAGCAGCATTGTATCAAATAACTTCTGTTAAATAGTTGTACCATAGCACTGATACTCCCATTGCATTTATATTTTACCAATTAAAATACTTAAGTACTTAAATGAAGTATGGATTCTGGTTCACTCAGAAATAGCATACCGTAGTTTCTAGGAGTTGGGCGGATCGGTCTCAAGCAGCAGCTGAATCGTGCATTTCAAGCTGGTTGTTTTTATTATGTCTTTATTATTATTTAATATGCTTTTAAAGGAGCTATAACTTAGAATTTAGGAAGAAGTGGAAGAATGTGGATGGGGGAAATGTGTGAAAGTGTGGTGTGTGCAGCTAGAGAGTACTGGGGGACAGGGTTAATGCAGCTCGTGTACACTAAAGTATAAACTAGGTGTGGACAAAACCCCAGTCATTTATGATTACTTCTCTATCTTTGAGGAAACAGGAGTTGCATCTAGACTAAAGCCAGCTTACTTTGCAGAAATTAGTAGAATGGAAAAAAGCTGAAATTATTTTCTTAAACTAGAAATTAAGTAAATAAAGTGAAATTGCACAAAACTATGGACTGCAGAATTTTGATCTCAGCATACACTCCTGTGTAGTGTACAATAGGTAAAAGTGCTGTTGGAGGATCTTTTAAATTTCTTTTTGTTATGTTCTAATGTTTTAACTTGGATAAATACAGAGGAATCTGTGGCTTATTACAAATACTAACAGATACAGACACTAAATTATTATCTTTTAATACGAAGCATCTGTCTTGGTTTGAGGAGTAAATGTGTGAAATGTAAAGAAGAATTGGAAAAGAAATATATCTGGCAAAGAGGCTGGATTTATTTGTTGGTGTATTTATTAGTAATTAAAGGAAAATAACTGTGCATGTAGTGAATCTGCATTAAGTCATTGACTTTTAAAGGAAAATAACTGTGCTTGTAGTGAATCTGCATTAAGTCATTGACTTTGGATTTCAGCAGCACGCAAGCACAAATTCCCTTTTTTCACTCATCAGTAAACAAATGTGACAGGAAAAAGAAACATTGTGGTTTGCTATAGCTTAAGTTACCACAGCTCATTTGTTAAAACCCTTAATTTACAGCAGTTACGATTTCTGGTATTAAGTGTCTTGACAGAACAGAGCATATAAATGTGAATGTAAATAAATAGGAAAACATTTTTCCATATGAATAGTTCCATTATATGTTATTTCATTCAAATGTCCAAGTTCAGTTTCCTGATCCTTCCATGATGTGCAGCTTAACGTGTTAAATTAATTGTGGTTTTAAATACATTAAATAGATTGGGCATCTTAAACCCTGAGATTTGGAGTCTTTAAGGCTTCCTATTGCATATTGTAGATGTTTTAATACTTGTCATTTTCAGCTCTGGTTCTCTTGATCAGGAAGGGGTACAATGTAGAACTCATTAGCTGTTAGCTCCTGATGCAGAGTAATGTATTTGGAAGCTTTCTTTGTCTGTGGGATCACAAATTTCTCTGTAAATTCACTTTTACTCATTTGCCGTTTCCCTTGTGCGGTCAGTACACTGTTAATGAACGCCAGGGCGTATGTGTAGCAGTTATGATCATGTTCTTCATACCTAGGAAAAACATCTCGTTAGTAAGAGTTAGTGCTGATCCATTAATTACTGCGCATGGAGGAATATTTTACTGAGTGAAATAAGAAAACACATGCTCTCCAAGAAATATTGCCACTTCCCTTTAATGCTGGTGCTTCAATATATTCTATTCATTGCAAAGTGTGCTTTCCAGCCAGGGATACTAGAAACTGTGAAAATAATACAAAAAAAAAAAAAAGGGTGCCAACTTATTACAATAATGAGTTCTTATTTTTTAGACTTACTTAGCTTTTACCTTGTTAACCTTTGCTCTTCCATGTATTGTTACTCGTTATCTTGAAAACGTCTTCCTGCAGCAGTAATGCTAATTGTGTGCCACCACGTGCACTTCTCACTTCTTTCAGTGTAGCATTACCTTGGGAGCTCACTTAAAATCAAATTCTATGGCTACTACATTGGTTGATACAGTTGCTGTACGGTGTGCCAGTCAAACTCCCATTGGCAATAACTTGTGCCAATTGTGCAAGGACAGAAATACTCACTGAATAAGAGAAGCCACTTAAAATGTTCTCATTTTTCTTTCTTCTTTTTTTTCCCCATTACCCTGACCTAGGAGCACACAGCACTCACCTGTCTTTTCACTCTCAGAATGTTTCTCAGATTCTCCCAGATGTTTCATGTTGGCCACTAACAGCTTCACTAATTTATTCCATTCCCTCCCCACGTAATGCTGCTTTTTCCAGGGGCCCTGTGTAACTGTTTGATGCAGACCTGTTTGCCATTTGCCTAATCCTCAGCCACCTTCTGTAATTGCCTCATCCCATCTCATTTTCCCCTTGTTCTTCCTAGCCCTGTGACTCGCTCCTTGCCTTCCACTGTCAGTGGCTCCATGGTCCCTGTTGCCACAGGGAATCTGCTGGGAGGTTTGCCTGTCAGCCCTGGGAATTTACAGGGTGGTTTTGCAACATCTGAGGACTACGACTATCAAAAGCAACCCTGGGACCCTGAGCCCAGGTCCAGACAGTTTTCTCAACTAATTGCTAAAGAAAAATAATTGAGTAACTTAAAGAATGGCCATCAGCACTGTGCAGTGCAAAACATCTGGAAATTACATCTGGGAAGTATGTCTTTATATCCTGACAAGTAAACCCAGGATCTCTCAGTAATTCAGTCAATTAAGGTACTGTTGGTCATGGCTGTGGCCACTGTTCTTTACTGCTGTTCTTTACCATTCTTCCAGTAAATGAAAAGCAATCAGGAAAATTAGAATCAGGCTTGGCTTGAACCCAAAGGAGTTACAGGATTAGTTTAGCACGGTTCCTGTCCATTGAAAAAATAAACAGATGAGTTAATTTAACAATTAAAAAAAAAAAAAAGTTCAGTTTTCAGCAGTTTACTGGTCATTTGTGGGAAAAAGTAGGTCACTTTGTCAGGAGGTTGCAGACCAAGGAAAAACAAATAAAAGCTTGTAGAAGAGATACCATTGTTACTAAAAATTAACTTGATGTCAAAAAAGTGTTGGTAGAAGGTGGTAAGGCACTGGGAACTGTAAGAGTGTGAGAGAGACACAAATACTGTTGGCTTTACAAGTTCGTGGACATTTAAAAATTCTATTCTAGGTCAAATACTTTCATCTCCTGATGCTGGGGAAATAACACATTATCACATTATCTCTGAAATTTTATAGTCAAGCGCTTACAGAATTGCTAAAACCTGCTTTTGATTTGTTGTGGGTTTTTTTTTTTTTTGGCTTTTATATAAGATGGCGTTTGTGTTCATTAACTTAAATGATTCACAGGCCTCTGCTCGGCTGGGCTGTCTGTTCCATGTGCTGTTACTGAGGAGCGGGCCGAGGACTGGCCTTTCCTCACAACAGGCTGCTTGGTCCATCAGCAGGCTCCGTGACGTGGCAACACACGCTTTAGCCAGGCCAAACAACTCGTAACGCTGTCATCGGGCATGAAACTCAAGGAAAGCTACAAAGAAGCAAGCGTTCTCATTGGAACATGCTGGTTCAATTCAAAATATGTGGAAGTCGTTCTGTATTTAACTATCCAAAGCAATGTTAGGAACCAGCTGGAAGAGCTGGAAACCAGCCCGAGTGTGTTTCCCATTTCTGATCACTGACAACAAAGGAAGGAGTCATCTGGAGGCACGATGCGGGCAAGAATCCCATCAGTGTGAAAATGCAAATACACCTAAAACTGCTGAGACCTAGAGGAAATAGTTATAGAATTGCGCCTGGACTTTCCTACTTCTGTACTTGGCAGCTACTCTTAAAGGTAATGTTTCACTGAACTGTTTTGGGGTTTTTTTTCATGCAAAATTATTTTGTTGTTGAAGAAAACTTCCCTAAAATGATCTCTTATTTTAGAGCTTTCACATTCCAGCAGATGCTTTTGTTACTTCCGACTTAAAAATACTCTTTCTCTGTTTAGGAAGGCCACTAAGTTCCAAGACAGCCCGACAGCGTTGTTTGGACTGGTTTGGTAGAAATGCGTGTTCTAAAAGAGCAAAGCTCTGAATGAACCATAAGCCTCACAGGATCCAAAATGGAATAGCCCCATTTATCATCCCCAACTAAAAACTCCTGTTGCACCCAGCTTTTAAACTACATACCTGTGAGGAAGCCAGGCCTCTCCCACAGAAAATTCCTCTAGGAGCTTATCCCACTCCTGAAGAAGCCCAAACATGTCTGGTTGCACTAGTGGAATACTTATGCACTGTTCCCATCCAGTTTCAGCTCTGTGAATGCCCTCTTCGTTGTAATTATACACCACACCTGAAAACGAAGAGCAACAGATTGGCAAGGAATCTCCAACAAATTGGAAAATCACATTTATATCCTTTTTCTTTATTTTAAGTGGGAAAAACTACTACTAGTAGTTTTCCACGCTGCCATTCTTCCTTAGACTAGCTATCCCCTAGCTTCCCATCACTGGCCACAGAGTAGAAAATGCTTCTAATCAAAAACCTGTTCTTTTTTACAGTGTAATTTCAAATGTCTTTTCATAAGGAAAGCAACTTAAGGATTACCAGACCTCATTTTTAAACCCACAAATTAGACCACTTTTGTATTAAATAAACATCTCAAGTGAGATTTTACAAGGTGGGCCTACTCTAGGAGAACTTGATGTGATTTTTAATGTGCTTTTTTTTTTTTTTAATGTGGGGATTTATTTTTTAAATTAGGGGTATTTTTAGAATTAGCAAAAAAATTTGTTTAAGTCAACATTTCCTGAAACTTCTTTTTAAAAGTAGGCTGCGTAACTTTTTTATTTCCCTGTGTCAGGAACAGAAGTCACCTCTCAATTCCATTCTGTGCAGCTCCTCAGCACGAGAGGAGAGGTCTGTGGCTTTGATTTGAAGCTCTGTGAATTTATCTGTGGGATAAATTCTTGTATTTGAGACTTTCTGATCTTTATGTGATGCTGTTTTGTAGCGAACGGCTAAGTTCCTGGTTCTGGTACCTGCAGCAGGCTGAGGAATTATGTTCTTCAACAGCAAAGCATCGGATCCTTGGATGTTGCAGTGTTTTTAAGAGGTACCAGGTGCTGCCGCAGGAGCTGAGGTGGCTCTGAAATAACTGCCATGTAATTCAGTGATCATAGGCGGAGGGGGGAGGCCAAAACTGGGCGTACAGTCTAAATATGAGGTATGGGAGATGGGCAGTGCTTTGAAAGGCAACTACAAAGTGTTTTTGGCAGTGCTAGATTAATGGTTGGACTCAACGATTGTAAAGATCCCCTCCACCCCAGACGATTCTACAAAGTGTTTTTTACCGTGACTGTTGGTTATTCCAACGTGAAGGTCGGATTCCCCGTCGTATCCTCTGAAAGACAGAGAGTGGTGCTGGTGATGGACCTGAGCATCGCTCGGCCCTGTCTCTGTCTCACAGCAGGTGCTGCCTGGGGAGGCAAAACTCTACTGAAAACCTGGAAAAGCCGGGTTTTATTTCCAGAGCGGGGCCTGGCGGGTCAGTTCCCGGCTGGGCGAAGGCCCTCGACAGGGGGGCTCCCCACAGGCCCCGGGGCACACAAGGCGGGAGCCGCCTTCCCGCCAGGCCTCCCCCCGGTGCGGGCCCTACCCGAGGAAGGAGCCGGCGGTGGGCCGCAGGAGGAAGGCGCGGGGCTGCCGGTGGCCGTGTCGGAAGGGGCTGGGCAGGCGGAGGGGGGCGGCGGACAGCCCGGCGCCGCTCAGGGGGAGGCCGCAGGCGGGGCAGCGCGGCGGGGCCCGGCGGCAGAAGATGTCGGCGCGGCAGTGCCTCACCCGCAGGATGGCGGCCTCCGCCATGGCCGCCGCTCCGCCCCGCCTCTCCCTGCTGCTGGTGGCGGTGGCGGAGGCCGGGCGGTGCTCCGCTCTGCCCCGCCCCGCGGCCCGGCGGTGAATGGTGTCCGTGCGACGGAACCCCGCGGCGCGGCGCGGGGAGCGGCCGGGCCGGGCCGGGGCGGCGGGGGGCGGAGCGGGGCCAGGATGAGCACCAAGCAGGTCACCTGCAGGTGAGCGACCGCCGCCCCGCCGGCCCCTCACGGCCGGGGCG